TAACATTTCGTTTGGTGATTAAAAGATGAAGAATTTTTTTTGTTTTATATTTCGAAAAGGAAAATTTTTATTTCATTTCACAACAGTAATGAATTCATTTCGATTACAAAAATGAAGTGTTATTTAGTTGAACTTTTCTAAGTAAATGAAAGTGAATCCAAAGTAGATACCGAATTGAAGCGTTATACGTGTCTGCAAATTATCCGTTTTCATTGAAGTGCTCCTTTGTAAACCACATTTTTTTGTTTTTTGGTCTAACGTTAACACATTTAAAGCAGATGGTTTCCAAACTCGTGAACATGCAAAATATAACTGAACATGTGAAAAACAATGATTTTCTAAATTTATCCCGCAAATACTAAATTACATATCTGTCATTACACGTCAATTGCATAGCTGTCAATTGTGTTTTCATTAATTCCACGTTTTATAGTGACGGACGTTTCATGTCAAGTCCCACGAGAATGCTGTTGAACGGGATAAAAAGTATCCTATTGCAATTTCCGGGCTCTAAACTACCTCCCTGCCAATTTTCAGCTAAATCGGTTCAGCCGTTCTTAAGTTATAAGTGGAGTCACTAACGACTTTCTTTTATATATATAGATTATACATAGAGGCAGAGGAAAATTGATTCACGACACAAAGAATTACTCTACATGAAGACTTTATTTATGTGCTTATATTCTTTAGTATATAATAATCTTTTATATATATTTATATTTCCTTTTAAATAACAAAACTCTTTTATATTTACCTTTCTTTATCGTATTATTGATAATAATATAATATTTAATGTAAGTTGTAATATCTCGTTTTGCTCTTTTTATTCGAACGAATGAATTGAATGTTCAGATTCTTTGTATGAATATATGAAGCATCATTTCAGACGGATAACATTTTGAAGTAGTGATATTTTGTTGAACATAAATCAACCACGACGCATTTATACGCCGTTTTTTATTATTTTAAAAGGAAATTAATTTATTTTTTTAATCCATTCTTAGATTTAAACGAATTGATTTTCAATTCATTTATTTATTGCTTTCAACTAAAACTCTGCTCAGGTATAATTTTGTGAACAAAAATGAAAGAAGTATATGTAAATTTATGTCTCAATTCATTATAGAATCTTTTCTTTAATTGCTATACAAGTACCTGATGTTAATGGAAACGAAAATTTCACCAATAGATGTTTTTCGTTATATAGTCTATTCATATATGCATAAACAAGTCATGAAACCAAATGAATAATAAAACAGAATTATAATTATTTGTTCTTATTACGATCATATAAAGTCAATACAAATCTGATTATTGCCGGAAAATGAAACATAAAATTCCTTTGTTACAAAAACTAATAAAACCTATTAAGTACTAATATTTCCTGAACGAAGTTGTGTATGTTTTTTATTAGGGTAACATTAGCCAAAATATATCTTTTGATAACTTTAATACTTTCTATATATGTAGTATATAGCATCTGTATTCTGTGCCAATAAATCGACTTAAGCCTTGAAGATAAGACATTAATTAAATTAGAAATGATTTTTTTTAAATAATACAAACAAATATCTTTTTTTTTTACAGTTAAAACGTATATTAATGGTTTCTCAATAATATTTTGTTACGTTACTTATTATATTTTCTCCATAACAATGTTTAAACGTTTATTTTTTAAGATTCCGTGTGATCAATAAAATGCGAAAAATATTTTTAACAACCTTAAAAATAAAATAAATAGGTAATTGGATCCATTCATTGGTCTGCTTTTTACTTTTCTTTCTTAGAAATCAATTATTTCGACAAATAATTAATTCATGTTCAAAACATATAAAATAATATAAAAATTTTTATTATAGTGTGAATTTTTATGAGCTTTTTAGGTATTGCATGTCACGCAAGCAATAAATCCTTGCCTCAAAACAAAAAAAAAACACGATTTGAAAGCCGATGGCGAGTGATATTTAGTGTGACCCACTTCTAAAACACACTCAGAGCTCGTATCCACATATAGTTTTTGATTGCGATTCTGAAAAATGTACGCAAAAAATTCAAATGAAATTTATATCTCATTTCAATATCGATCACAATTTACTGAAACTTTCTTTACATAAGATACTTTTAAGCCACGAAAACACTAGAAAAGTCAAAGTTCATCGTCTTTTATATATTTAACCACGTTAACATAAAAGATAATAATATATAAGGATTCTTTTTATTTAAATGTAATCATTTTATGAATATACTACGAATAATAATTATTATGATACGTCTTCTATTCACTAATGAAACCAAAAATAATACTAACGTAAAAAACGGAAAAAGAATATTTGAGATTGCAGTAAAATGGAAGCAAAACTTAGGTTGTTGCTGCTTTTTTAAACTATAGCTTCATTAGCAGTGGAATTTTGGAATAGTTTATCAATATCAACGTCTTAATTCGTTGGACGACTTATAATCTTGAGTGTTTTTTTTTAAAGTAAAACACGTACAAATTAGTCAAATGAAATAAAGGTGTTTATTTAATTATTAATATTTTTTGTAACTGCTTTTCATTTGCCTCTTCTCTAATATCGGTCAAGAGAAGTTAAAATTTTGTATTATATATTATAAACGCTATTCAATAAACTGTTTTTCTCTACATTAATATTTTTTTACAACTGAGAATAAATCATCCGAATCTGTAGTTAGAAAGTATATAAAATAAAAAAACAATAATCCAATTTCTTATGATTACACGTCAACGGTACTGCCACTGCAAAAAAAAAAAAAAAAAAGAAATCAACACGTAAAAATCAATTTCAAAATGATTTTGATGGTTTAAATATAATATTATTGTCTATACTCATAATTTTTATACTTATACTCCAGAACTATGTATGTGAAAGTTACGACAGGTAAATCTTGATTCCATTTGGATTAAGTGTATACCAAATATAGACTTGGAAATCTTCATAGAAGTAACCAAAAAAATAAGTTTCATATGGATAGGATTATAGAAAATAATATAAACATATGTAGAGCAGTCTTTAATGTTAAGTAGCTTATAACAATAAACAAAATTAAAATCAACTTCCATACATCGCGGACGATCGATACAAGAACATCATTTCCCCTTAATATAATCGGTGAGTTTCACTGAAAGCCTCCGAGATATAAAAAAATCTTTTTCTAGAACGAATTACTCAATCACCTCAAATATATTGATGTTTCAACATTTAAATCATAATAGGAATATTCATATATCTGAGACTATGTCGCATAAGTCATAGTCTCAAATATTATTAAGTTTTCAACAGATAAACAATTCTATTTCCATCAACAAAAATCACTCATTAGAATATATATATGACAGACCATAAATTGTATCTTAATTATCATATAAATTTATTTCTTTACAATTATCAATGTATATCCATATATCAAAACACATGCACATGTATCCGCACCATCCATACAATTATAATATAACAGAGTTAAATATACAAATAGCTATCAAATAACAACATAGACTCAACATGAGTCAGATCAAGTCGAAATAATTCAACATCATTATAATTATAAATTTCATACATAATATGTATATGTATAATTCCCAAGGCACTATTTGTACTGATATATAACAAAAGCATTTACTTTAAACTTATTTACATGGCACATAACTTTGAATAAAATGATGTAATGTCCATCAATTAAAAAAATCTATATCATACAATTTTTTTTTTAGTTAAAATGGCACTGGATTCTTTAACTATTCTTTGATTCAACTAGATGGCGCTTACCATAATATATCTGTTTTATATTATGAAAGTACAAAAATAGAACAAACAGCGCCACCTAGTATAGAACATACGAATTAATTAAAATTAACAAATCATTCCAATATATTTATCACAATAGTATTTAATACAATTATAATATAGAAATGTAATCAGTGAATTGATTGAAAGGAAATATCTTGTATATTTAAAATTAATATAAAATCAACAAAATCATTTGAAAGCATATAACAATGAAAATATTCATTATCATAGTAAATATATTCTCCTATGTAAAATATATGAATACTAACTATTAAATATCTTATGTTTTTTGATATTTGAATGAGAGCATTGCTTATACACAATTTTTAACCACCTTAATTAATCCGATATATTTGTACCAAACACAGTCTAAACAGAATATTTATAAGGACAATTTCAGATACTTTAATTTCTCTACAGATAAATAAACCTCAGATGGCTGTAATATATTAAATTATAAAAAATATTTTATTACTAAATTGGAGCTTCTAAAACTTAGTTCTTTAAGGCAATAATTATAGATTCCGTAGAAGTTAAGAAAAGAAAATTACTTGTATTAAAAAATTCAATATAATGTTTTCTTTTCAAGAGAGGACAGCCATATATTCTGATAAGACAAACTCTATAATGTATGTAACTAGGATTTATTAATATTGTGTTATACTATATCATTATAACTAAAAATGTCTTGGAAGTGCATGCTAAGATAAATAAACCTATTAAGTCACATGCCTTTTACTCATCTGAATTAATGTTTTATAACATTTCTATTAAATGCCTTTCTATTAGACTTTTTGAGATTTTGGAACACACTATAGAACTCCACTAAAGGCAGAATCAGTTAGTTACTAAAAAAATCAAGTTTCCAGAACTTTCCAGAATGTTCTTAAAAACAAGCCAGAATATTCTCAGTAGAACATGCAATATAAGTCAAATCAGATCTGACAAATAGAAGGGTCAAATCTTCTAGAAACTTTCCATAATATTCTAGAACAAGCCAGAACATTCTCAATAGAACAGCCGAAACTGTAAGTCAGATCAGATCTGTCAATAGAAATTCAAAGTCTCAAACCTTTCCAGAATGTTCTAGAACAAGCCAGAACATTCCCATAGGAACATCTGACATATAAGTCAGACAAAATCTGTCAATACAAAGTAAAAGCTTCTAGAAAGCTTCCAGTATGTTCTAGAACATTCTCAATAGAACTTTTCCTCTTCGATATCAATATTAGTTTTATTGTTCGGTTGGTTGGAATGTCTTCGTAGTGTTCCCATTGAGTCGTACTCATTGGCGATGGCCTTGGGATATAGTTTGGGGGTTGCCATAGTGTTGTTGTGGTTGGCATTAGATAGGTTGTTGCTTTTAACGAGGATGCCACTACTGGTGCCCATGCCTGAGAATGATGGCTGGCGTTTTGCTTTACGCGGCTGTGGAAATTAATTAATGACCGTTAAATCTTTAGAAAAAAAAAAAATTAAGGATTTCTGTGATAACAGGATAAAACTTTCTTTCACATATCATAAAACGTTGCTTTAATATTTGTTAAAATTGTTGTGGAATCTCTGTTGTATGTCCAATATTATTAACTTAGTCTAAGTTATATATTATGTTATTTCTTTTAAAAGAAATATTATTCAAGAGCTAAGTATGATTATATCCTGGAGTTTTATACATATATGAATAATATCTACATATTTCATGTTTGGGAAGAAGTCTTAGACATTAGCTATAGGTTTTTAATCTTGTAATTTAAAAAAAATAATCAAAGGGATATTAATCAATCAATAGATTGAAGAGAACATTTTTCTAGTGTTCCATTTTTAAATATGTACTGTATACAATCTATGTTCTTACCACACCTTAAGCGGTACTGTGACATAGCTGTTTTGTTTAGCGGTGATGTAATGCGGGCTGGAAGGCACGCGGACTGTAGATCTTTTCCAAGGACGACGGTAACACGCCACCACCACACCCAGACATAATAGACAACCTGAAACATAACCATTAAAAATTAAAAAAATATTCTATTGAAACTTTTTTGAATAACATCGGCTGTATGTTTTAAGCCTGTGCCCCGGATATCGAAAGTAAACTGAACTTTTTTTAAATAAACTATTTATTTCATTTGATAGCAAAAATTTATAATTATCAGTAAGATGAAATATAACATAATTATTTGTAAACTGTTTTACAATCAGCACATTGACTGTGACCATATATACATTTTGACATACAATCAAACATATAATCTTTTAATACTTATTCTAAAGCAAACTTAATGGTAAAATATTTTTTTCGTGTTAATAAACTAACCCATAACGAAAGCTCCAACGACACAGCCCACAATGCCTCCGACACCAAGAGGTTCACTAGACATTGTGACAAAAGAAAGCGCTCTCAACGTTCTGACTGTATGCTGGCATCGCGTATAACTCTGTAACAAAATATATAATCAGTATGGTAATGTTATACATATAATTTCTTTTAATATTATATATAGACAACAATTATATGTTGTATAGAGTTTTGTATACAGGAAGCTGACCTCCAGGAATAACACATAGGCTACTTTACATCCCGGAAATCTCGAAAACCCCGGAAATCCGCGGTTAACACCGCGGGGCGCAGCTAGTTTTTAATAAGTAAGTCCCCTATATCTCATATCTTTGATAACTAAGTCCGCTATATGTTTACTAACCGTTATCCATATCATCGTCTCCACACCTGGCCGCCTGTAGCTGGGCCCCCACGCAGGCCCCCGACTCACAGCTGCGCCGCCTCACCCTCTCACCGCCCTCACACTCACTCCAGGCACCCCAAGAGCCCCAACCACTCTCTGATTCTGAAAAAAATTCAAAATTATATATATATATATATATATATATATATATATATATATATATATATATATATATATATATATATATATATATATATATATATATATGACGGTGCCTTCGATTATGGATTAGTTTAATAATAAACTTCTTAGGGAATTCATTTGATTTGTTCCATTAAAATTATGAGTGGCCAGTGCTGAATACGGTAGAGATTGTTACTGAATGTGAGGACGGCCAGAATGCTATGGGCCAATCGCCAACAAAGTGCACAAGCCTAACCTATTGGCTCATAATCCATTTTTCCATCTTATTATTTAAATTTAATTTTTTTAAATACAATTGTAAAGAAATCTTAGGTATTATATATTGTAAAATGCAAGTGTGCTTTTATTTTTATGAGTTCCAATCGTCACAACGCCCATGATGGATATGTAAAACCAAGACTGCCATGAAAGCATCCTCCTGACGCTCCGACATATATATAAATGTATGTGTAATTTTGAACTGTATGGGACTTGATTTTTCAATTGTAGTAGTAATTTAGTATGCATAATTATGTATTATGTAATTAAAAATTGTATTATTCATACCAGTACACGTATTGACACAGGCGCGTTCACCCTCTCAAGCGCTTGCGCCAGCGTCGACACAGCCCTGCGGCGACACACACATACGGGTGGCGGGTTCGATGTCCGGTCGAGTCACAGCCACCGCTACACTCGCTCCAGTCGCTCCAACATGGACCATTCACCTGTAAGAAAATTTAGTATTAAAACTCAAAAAGTTTCAGTAACAAACTACTACTTAATTTAATATTAAAACTACTTCTTCTTCTTCCTGGCAATTTCCCAGCTTTAGCCAGGGTCTGCCAAATATTAAACTACTATAGCTACTATATAGTACTACTTAAAGTTTAAATATGGGTGGTCTAAATATTTTAAGTTGTGTACTAACCAAGACAAAGCATGCGTATTACAAGGCCTCAAACATATCAGGCGGGTTCCCCGTACAAGGGGGCCTCTTCGACAGTGACGTGTTCGTTGTTGCTGGCCCCCGCCGCAAGACAGCGGAGCAGGCCCCCCAGGCTCTCCCCAGGGCCCCCAGCCGTCAAACGACGGGTCCCTCTTCGGGAGGTGTACTAGTACATACCCCACGAGGGATTAACAATAGCGTTCCTCTTCACGGGCGAGAGATAACTATAAGAAAAATTTATATTAATTTAAAATAAAAAATATATTTAAAATTATGATTATACTAGCTTCCGCCCGCAGCTCCGGGCCCGCGTGGGATTCCAATTATATCGCGTTTTTTTTCGCAGAGAACCTTTCAAAAGTCTGGAATAAAAAACATATCCTATGTTCTTTCTCAAGCATCAAAATCTATCCCTGTACCAAATTTCATTAAAATTCAGTTCAGTGGGTTTAGGCAGTGACGTGAAAGCGTATTTTTCATTGTTTACCCCCGCAACCCCCCTTTGTGGATTGGAATTTTGTTAAAAATCCGTTCTTAGCTGACCTCAACTCGGCCGAAAGGGATAATCCTACCAAATTTCAAAGTCGCTACGCCCTTTATGGTTCCGAGAGATATCGTGATGAGTGAATATATAGGTGGAAATCTTCATTTAACATATATAGATTAAAAATATATACAGGCGAAGGACTTATGTGATGTATAAACTCACCCTAATTTGTTTTTTTTTCCGGTGCTGGCGCTTACAAAGGAACTTAAAATCTCTTTCTCGGTGTAAGACTTACCGTCCCCGAAGTGTTGCTGTTAATAAAATTACTTATTTGTTTTTTTAAATATCGGACTCAAAACTAATTTTTATCGCGCAAAAACATGTTAAGTACATATAAATATAGTATGAAAATAAATTATTTTATTTTACAATCCAATTGAAGACGTGTAGAATTAAAGTTACCCTAAATTTTATTCCCTAATATACTCGGGTTGGAAACATTGTATTCCAAAATACATTACTTATTTTCTATGACCAAGAAAAAGTTTCCTATTATTTCAAAACATGATAACTTCACTGATTTTAACTGTTACAAAAAATATTTTGTATGTTAAATGTTACTACCTTTAATAACTAAATACTTACTCGGTAATTTGGCACCCCACGGTGTCCAACGCACGGTTTGGCTTTCTCTGGACCTCGCACGTTTCGTAGGTCACAGGGCGGTCTTTCCAGAAGCGAGGCCCTTAACCCTCCAGCTCCCCCCATGGTTCTAGGGGGCGGGGCTCCCACAGACCCGGTGCGTCTCTGAGCGAGTTCCCCCCCCAACACCACAGGCCCTGCGCCTGGTTACAGGGCCGACAACGGGACCCCCAAGGGCGGACCAAGAAACCGTCTAATCGAAGCGAGGGAAGGCCGGATCTGTATATAAAAATGAAATTAATTGTAATATATTTTTTTCATTTAACCATAACAAAAAGAATGATAATTTAAAAAACGTTCCGAATCTTTAGGCGTCTTAGATTTTTTTCGCGTGGGTTGTATGTAAGTTAATTTTCTATTAGATCATTTTTATGATATGGAACAAAAACCACCCCTTACTAATTCAGATCATTAAACTACTTAGTTTCCAAATTCTCCTTCACCAAAAAAACTATGTACATTGAGGACCATGTGAATCAAATTTTTGCTTACAAACGAATCGAAAGCTACATATTAAACCATGTGATAAAATTTTTGCTTTAATAACTAAACGAATCGAAGCCTACATATTAATCAAAACTCACTTCCCCCCCCCCCCGAAAAAAAAAATTAAGCAATCACAATATATATATAAAATATCCTAGTTACCTGGACAAAGGGCGGGATGAATACGCGGCAAGTGTATACATCCTGACGTCAAGGCCACACACAGGACCCGGCCGCGTTGTTTTGGGTTTTCCGGGCGAGGGGGCACGGACCTCCGGCGCGAGAGACTTCACGTGCGATACACCCACGACGAGCTGCAACTCCGACCAAGCACGAACCACGGCGGACCAGCCGCCGGGAAACTTGCAGTTGGATTTTATGAGATAATAGCCCCTGTATAAACACTAATATATACAGGGGGGGGTATGGTTGTGAATACTATCGATACTTTGAGGAAAGTGGATATTTGGCGATCATACATATTATGACAAAAATAAAAAATTAATATAACATTAAATATAATAAAAACTTCTAAAGTAAAAGTTAAACCAAAAAGTTGGTGTAATTAATAACGCCATCGTGTGACAACCCTACAGATTAGGTTATTACACCCACACACAACACCACACCACGCGTGCGGCGGCTTCGGTGTTGTAATCAGCACGCCGCCCGCATCGCGTCCACACTTGGGACACTTGGTGGAAAGTGGGTCACCACGTTATTTATGTATACGGAAATTTGTGTCAAAAATTAGTTACCTTATTTTTTTTACATAATCGAATGAGAAATCATTTACAGAGTTATCTCCTTAATATTGATAGTAATTCACCAGGTCACCCTTTAGATTACATTTGATGTTTTAGTGCTCAATAATTTATTTACGGGGTTAGATTACATTCTAAACGTAAATATGAAGTAGGAAATAAATTAAATATTAATAGAATATACAAACTCTGGGGCAAAAATTTTTTAATGTTGTTTCATGTTCTGATGATAAGCAGGACTATCAAAAATATAAAGGAGGTATACCAACTAAAAGTCTTATAACCGTTTGATTTAATTTCTTAATTGTTACCTTTGACCAGAGGTTGGCCCCCCTTGCGCGGGCCTAGGGCTGTCAAAGCTCCTGGTTGCGACACATACACATGTCAGGTTTTCTCGTCTCCGGGATACAAAACGTGCATAGAGTTCATTCCTGCATTGCAACGGCTCCCCATGCAGACCACGAAGGACCAGGCCACCGTCTCCTATAAAACATTCATTTATTACGGCATTCATATAAGTTTTCTTGAAACACTAAACAAAAACAAGGACTGAACGTCTGGTAAATCATAGGGCAAATACCCCAATTAATAAGTCAAAAATGTTGGAACTTTTTACCCTAACCTTAACACTACAAATAACGGTATGTTAAATCCAAAAGTGTAGGATTATTCAAAAACTTCAAGTTTATATACAGTCGAAGACTCTGAGTCTATTTTAGTTAGCAAATTCGCTAGGTTATTTCAAAAACTGAAACTTTGCTTGTATACAACGAAAAAACTCTAAGAAGGAAATTTAACATAATCACAATTGATAAATATCACCAATTATTTTAAGTACAATGTCGGCATCGTTTTAATCTATTTTTGACAAACAGATTCCAAAACTAACGGACATTTTTAAAAAAACCAAACAAATCATTTAAAGTTTAGTTGCAACCTATAAGGCAATTTAATTGCAAAAACTGTTCCCAGCCATTACCTTGGACTGTTTATCAGAGGGGACAAGCTAGCTGTGGACTGTACGAAGGGACGCTCCTCTAAAGTGTGGCGATGCTCTTCACACACTGTTCTCGGGCCGTCGTCCCAGCGGCAGTGAGGGGTCCCGCGGCGCGCCACACCACCCCGCGCGGCTCCTGTAGCGGCTACAACGCTCGCCTCGATACACGGCAAAGCACGCCTTTGTCCACTGCCGATGTACAGCGGACCATCATGTTGACCACATTTGAATTTGGAAAGTCATTAATTTCTTTTTTTTAAATCCAAAAAAGGATGTAATATAGGTAAAAACTTTTCATTCGTGATTTGTTGTGTGTAAACGAATGTAAACAATCGAGGAATACTTTTTTTTTTTACTGTATAAATTAGTCATAAGACAAGTTTTCGATCAGGACCAGGTAGGGGAATTCGAGGAGTTTTATTATATAATCTATCGTGTTACATGCTTAGGAATATAAATCCTAAATATCGTCACCGTATTCTTTAACGAACTGCGTGTTCTATATATTGTATCCGCCTTTAGAGGTCTTTTAGTTTCCATATCTCGATTTCAAAAACAGGGCTACCCTCGTACCGCGGCCGTTATTGGCCAGTTTCAATTACATCACTGTTCTCTTGTTGCGAACCGAAAACAACTAATTGCTTGGCAATCTTTTTTGTTTGTGACAAACATACAGGGACTGTGGCGTGTGTGAATCCTTCTATTATGGACTTTGTATACTGGTTCGCCTGAAATCGGGCTGTATGGGCTTCGCCTTCACATTAAGTGATATTTGTGGTAACTCATACTGTGATGAGGTCTGAAAAATTGATAGATAATATGAAACACAAACGGTTGTATAAAATTTACTTAGAAAACATCATAAAACTGTTAGAATCAATATTGTATGTTTTCTATATTATGTTTATAATATATAACTTAGCTTTTCAGCCCGCAGCTTCGGCCGCGTTGGAGTTCGGTGTATTATCGCGTTTCCAAGACCTCTGTTTCAAAACATCTGGGATTATACATATCCTATGTTCTTTCTCAGGCATCAAACTCTATCTCGGTAAGCAAATTTCATTAAAAATCAGTTTCAGGTTGTTTAGGGCGTCGGGGTGCAAACGTAAACAGACAGTCAGACAGAGTTTACTTTTCGCATTTAAATAATATTAGTAAGAAGCTATCCTATATTACCTTGGATCAGGGGTTGCATTTCTAAAAGTGTTTCCTTGTCTTCTCTCGTGGGTTTGTGTCAGGGCGTTTCCCAAGTCGGAGGTCGAGTTGAGGGGTTTTTTGTTTGAAAACCTCGTACTGACCCTCGAAAGACATTTGTATATTCCGACATATTGTATATACACACGGCACTACCGGCTATGCTGTTTCTGTAAAAAAGATATATGTATGGTTATTTGTTACATTGTAAGTCTGTAACTGCACAGATTATTCACGAAATATTCCCGTGTAAAATTGTTTGACAAATAAAATAACGATTTGTTAAAATAAATAAAATAGTGTTAGTACTAGATGTATGTGAAATGTATGGGCAACTATAATACTATCATATTATTGTCAATGAAACGTTTACAAATAATATTCAGGTTATATTTGGGATTACACAAAACATGTCAACAAAATAGTATATTTATAAAATGGATAGTATATTTATAACTATTTTTTAAATTATCTTCGAGCAAATAATATATACGAGTATGTATTAGATTAGATTGTTTGATTAGATTAGATTGACCAGAAAGGCAGACCCCACCATCAGATGGGGAATAATAAATGCCACGGAGAGAGAGAGAGCGAGAGAGAATATATATTAGATTCTTACGTGGGGCGTAGTAAAAATACCGCTACAAGTATTTTCTCTTGGGCCAAATATTCAACGCTCTGGACCTCGTCGTTTTAGTAGAAGGGCACGTCTCCCGGCACGGGACACTTGAGACGCGCCTTCAAGAAAGTGCTCCAATTGTCTTTCATAACAAGATGGCCGCCCCGAGTCATTCTGACATACACGCGCTATACGAGAGTATATTGTCTGGAAGAAAAATAATAACATGTATAGTATGTTTAACTAGGAATTATTTAATTAGGATTATATAACACTAGATTAAAAGTAAGTATAACATTTCATTATATTATAAAACATTAAACAACAAAATTTAACAAGTGGATTTTTTTAGCTATACCTTTTTTATTCTGTAATTTTAAAACATAAAGTATTCTGGAAATAATCATAGATTCATATTACAATATAGATTTGTAAAACAGACTCATTTATTTAAGGAGTATATATCAAAATGAAAAAACAAAGAAGTATTTGATTTAACTGCCAGTAATGCCATCTGTTGTTTGATATAAAAAGATTACTATTATTGTTTTATCTGTGATAAAAAAAATACATTCTCTCTTTTTTTTTGCAATTTAAAGCAGGCTTTTAAGTTACATTCACGGGTTCCATGATAATTACCTTTCCACAAGTTTAAGATATTCCACTGCGACTTCTCTAAAAAACGAAGTATACGAAAAAGTAGTCGTCTTCAAAACTGCCCACGAACTGTGGTTCGTTGAGCCAGTTCAGGGTCATACTGAGTTGTTTCTTAACATACCAGTCTCACGGGGCGAGGCGCCCCGGCGACTCCTGAAACAAAATTAATATGTAATATGTATTACATCATTAATTAAATCTGGACATGTATTAATTTGAAATTTTATCTTCTTCTTCTACCTGGCAATTTCCCAGCTTTAGCCAGGGCTTGCCTTAACATGTTGTGAATTTTTTTTTAGTTTTGGCTCATTGTTTTTACGACCGGCCGCCTGCCTGACACTCAACCCTCTTGGGAATGGCATTTATCAGTGATGTCTAAAATACTCTTAGAAAGTATATATGACTCGGAAAAAAATCACATTGGTACTTACTTGCCCGGGCCAGGATCGAAACCCGCGTCCTCGTGCATGAGAGACGGGCCTTTTTAACCACTAGGCCACCACTGATTTCATCATGAATCATTTGAAATCTATATCACAGTAAATTTAAATGAAAATTTACTAAGTATTTGATGAAAAAGATCAACAACTTTTCAGAAAAATTAACAATCCATTTTTTAATTTCTCGGGTTCAACCCTCGTACATATTACCATTTTTATCTATTTTGGAGTTTCGATTGGAAATTATAGTTATAAAATACAAGCAAAATATCAAACCTGCATATAGCTGTGTCGGAGCTTGAAAAATCAGTTGGGGTACCGGCATAATACTCGCCCGGTACTGGCGAAGATGGCTGTCACATTGGAGTTTGGATTTGTGGGGACAATTGGGCACCCCACTCACTAGTTCCGATACCATGTGATTGATTCGATCTGGTGTTATAAGTAATTAGGATGAGAAATTTAAAAGGCTTATTTATACGTCATAGAATTAACAAAGAAAGTAATGAGCTATCATTGAGGTTTTGAATGAGAAGTAAAAAAAGGCAAGAATAGGGATGATTTCCTGCAAAACATTTGTAAAGCGATTGTTGATATTATCCAGATTATGCGACAACTTTTTGGGAATTAGAGATAGTATTATGCGAGTCCAGATATTCTTGTAAATGGTAACGCAAGTCTTTTAAGTGGTAATGAGTAGTTTAAGTGATACGACTTATGTATTCGCTTGATCGTACTAGTAGTTTCCAACAGAAGATCAGTATTATCTTTTTATTGCTTAATAAAATGCTTCATAGCCTAACTTTCATATGCTCTCTCTCTTTTATTCACCTCTCTCTTCTCTTTCTTTTTTCATGTAAATCTTAAATTTAGAAATTCCAGTAGAAGTATAACATTATGGATTTAAGTCCAAATATCCTTGTACTTGTATAATATCACCTTTTCTCTAAGTGATAAATAAAGAAAAGGTAAATTCAAGAAAGATATAGAAATAAATAGGCTAACGATACTCCCAATAAGAGTAGTATAGTGAATTAAATTTACGTTGGTTTTGTTTTTTGCGTCTTAAATAATATTCCAATTATGGAGTACATCACTAAATCATATCGATAAATATTTAAGTAATGAAAGCAGGCTGTATAATAAAAGGTGATTGTATAAATCAAGTACGTCTGTTTAAATCATCTGTATGAGGTTATCTTAACCATATCGGTTTTATTTCGATTGCCAGAAAAGGTATGCGTATTTAAATTTTACAACTCTCAACAGTTATATATTGTATTGATTGACGATCGTGTTTATTTTAGCGAAACATGTTCAGCTTACGTGTGGAAGCACGTATTTACAAACACACACGCATTTTTTTACATACACAAGTAAGTATAAATTTACGAACTTAATGTGTACATACGCTTTTATTAACACACACACAATCAAGCTTACACACACACACGCGTAAACTCATAAATAATAAATAATGTTGGTGTTTCACGAAAGGCAATTAATTTTTTAGTTAATGTCGACTAACCAAAAGTCATAATTGCTTTAAAACATGTTATACGATTAAGCTCTACGGGAAAAAACTATTTGTCACCGGTCTGAGTAATGATAGAACTCATTCAATGATAATTTAATGATATGTTACATTTTTTACTATGTATATTAATTTACATCGATATATGTGTACAAACAAAAACATTGATACACGAGAAAGATAATTTCTTGGAAATAAAATGATTAGATACTTTTGTCTACAACATATTTTTTTGATTTTTTGTCATACATTCTGAATTTTTTTTGTATGGTGAAAAGTGGAATAGTTTGTTTATTGGCGCCAAATATTTTTTTCCCCACCCAAAATATAGTACATATTTTCATTTCATTTCAAATAAGTTATCGATTGACATTCAGGGAACTACGATTTAATATCCGAACGGAAACTTATAATCGTTTATAATAAAAAGGGACATTATGTCATTATGATAAATTACTATGAATAAACCAAATAAGGGCGAATACACACCTCCCTCCAACTGCACATCGGACTGAAAGCGTTTGTGCCGCACGCGAACAGCTTATGCCCATAAGAGAGCAGCACTTTGATGTAATTGCGGCAGCTGTCTTCAGTCTGACCCTTGTCTTGACACAATTTTGTCTTACCCTCTGGTGCGGGCCAATTTGCACGTTCAAGTTCTCTAAGTCCACGTAGCGACAGACGATATAACGTGTCTCTGAAATGAATAATTTAATACATATTACTTTTAATATAAATGTAAGCTATATCATTATAGTATAATTGAATGCGGTATAAAATTAATGTGATAGCGATGTTGGTATACAAACAACATCATTATAACCAGATATGAAGTTTCGCAGAACATATTAATATCATAGCACTGCATTTACGTGTTTGCTTTCATTGTAAAAAAATACATGCATAAGTATGAAATATAAGTCAGGTATCGTCTTACGCCCACTGCGCTAATAATAAAATGCAATGCAACTATAATCTATAGCGAACTAGATTAATATGAATATAAAATAATTTCAAAGGTATAATTATTCTTAGATTTATTTCAATTAAATGCGAACAAGTAATGATGTATGAAAGATTATAACATAAAATGAATTCTGTCATGATTATGTAATAGAAATGTCTAGTTGATAGCAAGCGGTTGACCGCGGTGTTGTGTTGCAGTGTGTAATGTACACGCATCACATATCATGTACAGTAAGTCCTAGGAAACGATCCGTTAGAGCAATACCGGGATGGGAATTGGAGCTCATTGAATTATGATGCAACATACAACGTGCTTTGATATTATGTTTGATGGTTTTCCTCAGGAATAAATTTTAGGCCAAATATATTGAGGTATTTTTTATTCTAAAGGGGGCAACCTAAACAGACGGCCTACCTGATGGAGGTAGTACCGTCGCCCATGGACATACATAACAAAAAAGATGTTGTGGATGTATCACCACCTTTTGTTTAGGGAAGAGGAGGAGGAAAAATTTGGAGGAAAAGGGGTAGGGGTAGGAAAGGATGGGAAAACGAAAAGGGCAACCAGCTCTCTCACTTATTGGACGAAAATGTATTCATTATAGGCCACTTCACCCCGATCCTCTGTGAAAGGGTGGTACTTCCCCGGTCGAGCCAGCCCATGTTCGAGCTGTAATAACTTGACCACAACTAGGTTCTCTCATTTTTTTAGTTAATAAATTTAATTTATAGTAATAACATAAATACATTACATATAATTATATGCCAGACATATGAAGTTATAATGTTATAAAATATAAAATAGTATGTACTAAAACCCAGTTGGTGTAATTTAAACGTGATATTTGTAGCTGTAAGGAGTATATTTAAGGTAATGTAGTAACATAATTCAAATTAGTGCCCGCACACCTACCAGTTAGATGTTAGATTATCGTAATTACCAAAGACAAATGCTATCATTCTGATAGTATGATAAACAAACACTTCTAAATCAAGACGAAGTCTCGACTTATGGAACCGGAATGACGCTATCTCACTAGTTTCATATCTACGACTGGTAGAGCCTCTTGACTACATTTACAACATTGCTCCAAGAATACTCTTTATAAAGGAATTTATTATATACTAGTTATATATCCGCGACTTCGTCCGTGTGGAATTCGGAATTGGGTTCAAAAAGACCAAACAATATAATGCGTTAAAAAAACTTAAAACCAAAACTGGTACCTTCTACAGTTTGTGTCATGTGACGTCATATAAAATATAAATATCATAAAAACTACACTGAAAGAAGGAAGAAATTATAGCTCATATGTTATTCTGACGTCTAAACTACATGTTTGGAAAGTTTCATAAAAATCCGTTTAGTAATTTTTAAGTGAAAGAGTAATAAAAATACATACATCCTCATAAACTTTCGCTTTTATAATAATACTACAACTATTTGACAAAAACTACATAATGGTTCTTTCTTAATTATCTTCTCCGTATGTAAAATTTATTTTATGCATACGCATATAATTATATGTTGGTTTTACAAGTTATTTATTCTCTATTGCGTGTCGCATTACAGCACTCTGTCGGTGAATTGAATGCCGCACAAAGCTTGGCACTGGATAGTAACATTAAAATTCATTAAGTACATATTTCTTTCATAAACAACAAACATATCTCAACAAACTTTCGCATTAACAATATTATTATAGTAACTCCTTTTTATTCAGCATATCTCTCATTTATCAACTCAATTTCATCTGATATATCGTGGGAAACAAAATCATCGTGGCCATTTATAAGAATAGCGTAATCAAATTTCCAATAAACACTAATAATATAAAAACGTAAAACCGTAATTGATATGCACATTAATTAAATTTATTGCATCTCTCATATTTTTTATTAAAATCTCAAAAGTATTAACAATTCGTAACACTTTCGCAATAAATCAGAATCAGAATTGTCATTATTCAATTTTATAAGTGGAATTCTAGAATATTTTTTGAATTTTATATAAAAAAAATACGATAGTCAAGTGAGAGTCGCTTTCGCGGTTTTAGCCATCCATAGACAAAATATATTTGTGATATTTATAAGAAAATTAAAAACAATTTCTACAACATTCTTTATTTCACCAACTTGCAGCATACTAAATATTATTTCCTTAACAGAAGTATATATTTATTTTAATAAGTAAGAAAATGTGTAAAAGTATATCAAATTTGTTTTCTTTATCAGAAAAAAAAGATAGTGGATATTAGACTTAGAAGACAATGAGTTCAAAGAAATCGGACGCTTTTCATATCTCATATGATCCTTAAAAGAAAGTGCTCCAAAATTAATGTTTTTTCAATACTTTAAAAAGTGAACTAATATTCTAATAATAAAAATAATTCATAGATATATTTCACAAACAGCCATTAAGTCATAACGGTAGTCTTACGAATAAATAGTAATTGGACCAGTTTTTGATACGAAGCAATTGATCAAACATACTCAAATAGCTGGCTAGTTAATTGAAGAAAGAGATTTATTTAGAACGAATCCCTACTAATATTATAAATGCGAAAGTAACTCTGTCTGTCTGTCTGTCTGTCTGTCTGTCTGCTACGCTTTCACGCCTAAACCACTGAACTGATTTTAATGAAATTCGGTACAGAGATAGAGTTGACCTTGAGAAAGAACATAGGATAGTTTTTTATCCCAGACTTTTGAAAGGTTCTCTTGGAAACGCGATATAACCGAACTCCACGCGGCGAAGCTGCGGGCGGAAAGCTAGTTCTTTAATAAATTAGACATTTTTAATATACTACAAGTTATTTGTATTAAAGCATTTTTACATATGTTATAAATTTTTTTTTGTTACTAGGTCATAGATTGCTGTTTAAATTTTTTCAGAAGTGTATATGTTAGGTGCTAGTAAGTTTAAAATGATTAAGATACCAAAAAAATATGAATGTAATTTTTATATTTAAAAATGAAAGCGCTAAAAGATATATTAATTTTATTCAATGCTAGGAAATACTTTGGAAAATGACAGGTTATTTTCATTACTCCATATTGAAGTAGACGGAATAGAGGGCAAGAATTTAGTTAAAAACATAAATTTTAACAAGAAGTCTTTGTATACTCATTCCATATAATTTACAACTTATTGTAAATTTGCGATTTAAACTTGAAAGTAATATTTTTTTATTATATACAACAACGAAGAAACATAGTCGTAGTTCGACTTCTCCACCACCGAAGAAAATACCAGTAAATATATAAAATGTCACTAAAATCGTTCGTCCTGCAAACATTATTGGCGTCAACACTGTCTGATTCTCATGCCACCAAATAAAGAGTGTGTACAATACAAAGTTATTCACATTATAAGCGAAACGAGTAGGTCAAAGTTTAAGATACCAATGATATTAACATATTAAACGAGTTTCATAACATTACGTAATCAACAGGTTTGTTTAATTGTTTGCATAGTTACGGTAGGTCCGAAACTATTCGATGTAGAAACAATAACTATGGTAACACTAACTTTCTACTAGACGTAACGAGTTTAGTAATAGATTTTCACTTACCACAAGTTACTGTACACTACATACTGGAAAGTATCCATTTCTAATTAAATAAAACTACATAAGCTACGTATTGAGAAAGATTTTACAAACTTGTAGTAATTTTGCTTTTAGATATAGTCTAAATTTTCGTATATAAAATATTGATAGTATTAATGTAAATTAATGAAAAAAAACTATCTATATTTATTTTGAATATATACAATAAGGGATACATATATGTATATAAGTTTATTCTCGTGAAGATGTTTTTAATTGGACATTTTTTCTCTTCATACAATTCCTAGCTATCTTCCTCTCAATAGGAATCACATTGAGATGTTTTCTACCATCTAGGTTCTCTTTAAATTTATATAGAAATTCTTCACTTATATAATTTATGTGTACCCTTGACTTGAATAGGCGTTTAGCTGTTAATTGATAATTTATGTGAGACGGATTGCAAAAGGGAATTCTTGTCGGTTTTGTATAAACGTGAGATTCTAACAAACATACATACATTTATATAGCGTTGATAATATATTTTATTGTCCTATAAGAAAATAATTGTTGTAGAAACGATTAAATTAAATTAACATTTATTCATTTATTCAATAATAAATAAATTATTGAAATACATAATAAAATTAATATTACTATGAATATACAATTTTTATTGTTTTGAGCCATTTATACCAAAGAATGTATGGATTTTTTTAAAAAACTAATTCTAGTAAACGAGTATTTTTTTCTCAGCAGTTGTTTAATTATATTCCGTTTAACCGAGTCGTTATATAGTATGGGATTACCGAGTATTTAAAAACAATTCCAGCTATTTCCTCTACATCCGCAGCAAGTGGTACGGTAATTAACATCATGGAAAAAGTTAAGGTTCGTCGACCCTGAGATAGGACACGTGGCGTGATAAAACTCCATAAACAAATACAGATAACCCATCAATGCGTTTCATGCAAGTTAACAAATGTGTTTTAAATACATAATATTACTGATTACGACAGGTATTACCAAATTATACATATTTAGTCAGGGGTGTCCAATTTTTTTTTGGATAGTCAAACTCCTTTCATCACATTTCATATTTCTAAAAGAAACTACTAGTTTTCTATGGTATACAAAATATATAATCCGATGTTGCAATTTATTATCTATTGCCAGTCTCATTATTTCCTTCAAAACAAAGGAATATTACATTTTTCTATACAGGGTGACTGGTGAATTACTATCAATATTTAAGGAGGATACTCGGTACATGATTCTCATTCGAATTATGTAAAAAAAATAGGTACTTAATTTTTGACAAAATTTCCGTATAAATAAATAAAGTGTTGACACGTTCCAAGTGTTCCAAGTGTGGAGGCGTGCGGCGGCGTGCTGATACAACACAACGCCCGCCGCACTCGTATGTGTGAGTGTGGGTGTATACCTAATCTGTAGGGTGTTTACACGATCCGTAATTAATTACATAACTTTTGGTTAACTTTACTTAGAGGTTTATTAATATTTATGTTATATTAATTTTTATTTTGTCATATATGATCGTCACAAATCACGTCCTCAAATATCGATAGTAATTCACCAGTCACCCTGTATATGTAAATTTATACACCCTATGATATTATTTTAAATTGTTGACGTAATATACTAAAAAAAACAAATATTAGATTGAATGAATGAATGAATGAATGTTTTAGTTCACAGGTTTGAACACAATTCACACAAGTTCTAATGTCATTTGATGTATATTAATGACACAAGTATGAGTCTGGAGAACATTAATTGAAAACACATTGGACAGACGCCAACAATGTTACAACACTAAACTTTGTGTTTGATCTGTTACAAGATAATCTTATCAATATACATTTTTTTTAAAGAAACAATTACTTTACAAACGATGTATGATAGGTGAATGAATATTTGAGAAATGAATGAATGAATAAAATATATCACGTGTTACGGTGATGAATATATTACGAGGAACGAAATAGTCTACGGAATAGCAAATAAATAATAATGTTATTTTGCTGCTTTGAAAGAAACAAAATGTTGATCAAACCAAAACGCTTATCTATAATGATGAATGAAGAAAAGTAATTTCAAACAAGAAACGAAAGTAAATGAAAGGTGCTATTCGTTTGTTTTTACACTAATGTAAACAACCGAGAACAAAAACGAAAACATCTTACATGACAGATATTAAAAAAATACGAATTGTTTTACATATAAATTAGATAAGATTGTTTGTAAACAAATGTATTAAATTGCAAATATTAGGCTGTATTCACACTGGTCGTAAGGATGTATTAATTAAAGACAGTTCGCACTCTTCATAGTCATCGTGAGTTCTATTCCAGTAAGTGTTTAGTATGCATTAGGCGATACCGTTACAGGCTCGGTCCGATTGGTTCCGTACATTTGATCTTATCATTACTTGGAAGTTTGAGAGCACACAGCAATAAAACTAACATTCACAAAACAAAACACGCTGTGTATATAAAACTATATAAACTATACAACAGAATTGAACCCTAAGTATAGCTTTATATAAATAGAAGAATTCCTTACATTTCATATCTTAAAAAAACATGATATTTCTCAATCAAATGCTTTACGAGCTTCATACAAGAATAATTAAATTTCTAAGAAACAAAAACTTAAATTCGTTTATGAACCTGTTCCTATAAACGCTATCTTGTTACAACGATGAGCAAACATTTGAAACGAATCAAAAAAATTACGTCGCCGTAACAAAGTACATAAAGTTATCAACCTTGATATAGGAGCGTTATATGTCATTTTGATTTAATGTGTTTTTAAACAATGTATAATTTAAATTTATTAAAGTTAAATGATTTTTTTTATTATTATAAAAAATATAAAAAATAATATTTTGAATGAACTAATATTTTCGGTTTTATTTTATTATATTTAAAACTACATACAGCACCTACAGCATACTACGAGCATTCATCACATTATTTTACCCGAAATTTTCGGTTAACACATTCTCAAACCCGATGAAAGTGTCCGCCGTTTAAAATATTAATTATACTTAATATATCCGTGAAACATAGTCCGGTTTTATTATATTGTTTAAAAAAATAATTGTGATGCTTTAATATATTCCACATTCATATTTCGCGTATATCAAAAGCATGTATGAAAGTTAAGACATCATACAGTTTTCATACGAATATTTATTAAGTAAAAATTAAATTAAGTCTCAATGTACCGTAAACTGTAAACAAAACATACATTAACTTACTTACATTGAGTTGTTTAAAAAAACATTAATCATATATGTATTTTAGTACCGTATAATGAAACACTATTAACGACTCGCGACTCGTTTCTTTATAATATTATGTAATCTTTAAAATCGTATTTAATGACCAAAATTTTTTTTTCGCCTCTGAAATTATTTCATCACATACAATAACTTTACCCAACTCCGAAAAAGAGAGAGATTCGTGTACCTCTATGGTACGTACATTCATTTATGAAGTTTTTGTTTTAATACTTTATAATCGTATTTTATCTGATTAGATTAAATTTTTTAATACCCGAAGTTTATGTTTGGATTACCTTAGTAGGTATTAGTTTTTATCTTAACTAAAACAGTTACAATTAAAACTTCTTCATTTACAAGACGACAACATAATACATGTGTCATCTACAAAGTATTGATAAAAACCTTTTAAAACGTCAGAATAGAAGAAGACTGTTAGTGCAAAAGGATATTATGCTTTATAAAACACACAATTAAATATACGTACGCTAAACAAGAAACTAAAGTCATAGGTATATAGCAGTTTATTATTACCAATATATTTCTTATATAAGTGTGATTACTTTAAAATAAAATAACTATAAATATATCTTAGTTAAATTACTGCAGTACTTCTTTATATAAATACATATTTAATGACGCACTATTTATTTCTAGTTGACTCTGTGAACTAATGCTATGTTCATTTTAATTGGTCTATATATATTATCATTAATATAAATATTTTTGATATAATTCTGATAACTCACCTAGCGCCCACTATAACTTGGTCTCTCGCTACATCGAACAACAGCTGTGAAAATGATTTGCTGGTGTTATCTTCAAAGACATCGCTATCAGACGCCAGCAGGTCTGGAAAGAACGGTCACGTGTTACACATTTATTTATATTATTTTATTCAAGGATTTATTTATTATAATGTATTTTGATAGGTTTGTATTAATTTACAAGTCTGCGATGAAAATAATTTTTATCTCACCTCATTCATATGTATGTATGTGTATAAATTTGTTCCGTCTTAATTAGTAAAGTTATCGATACATTTTGTTTTAATGATCTTCGTTGTAAGTGACATTAGGTGAATGAATAGAATATAATTATAATAAAATGTCATTAATTAGAAACATTAAGTTTAACTTAAAAATAATTTCTTAATTATTTTGAAAATTTCAAACGTACATACTGTATATGACATATGTATGTTACATAAAAGATAATATAAATTTTGTTTCTTTTAAGGTTATTTATAAAATGTTCAAAATTCTAGAATATTTTATAAAACAATCAAAGGTATTAAATGCAAATAAAATATACATATCTGTATATATAAAGGCAGTAAAAAATTGACTTGTCATAGTTTTAAATAACTATTAACATAAAAACTTAAAACAGTATGTACTAAAGTAATTTTATTTTTAAAGTAATATATTACATCAGTAAAATGAAAATTTACGAATTCATAATAACATTCTAAAATATAAATGGATGGTAAAACATCATATACATATATAATATGCAAATATTGTTGGTAAAATTACGAAAACAGAAATCACCTTGTCTTCGGATTTTATGTTAACATATAGCACTAAGTTATTTAAATATAAATTTATTCATATATTAATGAATAATTTTCATTTATTGTAATTATGTTATTTCCATTGTTATTTATGGTCTTATCTTATTTTTTTATCTATAACCTATCAGCATCTCAAGACACTCTCCGTATGTCATTTTTTAAAAATCTTATTCTTTTAGTTGGTCTTCATCGCCCATATACCCTTCGTCATTCACAATAGTTCACTGAGTCTAATAATATTTATATAATGATATATTTTTAAGTTTATTTAATATTAATTACATCAATTTTTTCGTTTTAAACCAACACTAATTTTCGTTATTTTTAAAACTTTCTAAGAATCAAATTAAATGTACTTAATTATTTAAACATTTCTATTTTTTTCTATAATTGATTATTCCTTCCTTAATTCGCATTCTGTATACATATAAAAGCAGTATAACTTTTTACCCGTATATTAAAAAAAAACAAGAGGCCAAAATATATTCAATTAAAGACATTGTCTATTCAAAGATAATCCTCTAAAATCTAAATATTGAACTCAACCGACAAGTGTATGACAAAGAATACTAAAAAGCTTTTAGAAATCTTAAAACGCTAATATTTTTGGAAAACACCTTTCATATATGTAGATGTTTATAATTTATGTCAAAATACTAAACAAATGTTATTCTACTACTGACTAGTTTGTTCACGCGGAATCGCTTGCAACATTAATGAATTTAATACATATATATACAGATTATTTAACTTTAAAATGTACATTTTCATAATTTTTGCCTAAGAAAAAGAAATATTCAAACAAATTAAAAATATAGGCTGTACATATGTTTTGCAATATACTTATTTGCTTTGCTCGAGACGCCACAGGTACCAAAGATAAAGTACTCTACAAAAACTATTGGGGAATTATATAACTTGTCTATATGTACTATAATTTATTGTCTTGTCTAGACTTGAAACCATTGTTTATTATTAATTATATACTTAGCATAATTAAAGTTAATAGTACTAATTAAAGTACAATGAAACAAAAAAAATGTACTGATATAAATTCTAATATATAAATTGGTGGCAATTAAACTTCGACCTTGTTGACGATCTTCTATTTATCTTTACTTTTGTTGATTGACTTAAAAATATATTTCGACTAAAATTCTACCCGTGGGTTTTTCTTATTCATCATAATTACGTAAATACGAAATTTTGGTGGATTTTATAAAATATCAAACATGAACATTTGCAATTACTTAATATTTATGTATCATTTTTTTCTAAACGCGCTAAGTAGTTTTGTTTAAATTATTATTTTTTTAAAACCGGTAACAAATCAAGTTCGTGGTAAGTACATAGGTTCTTGTGCAATTCCTACAGACGACATCCTGAGATATATTGGCTAGGTTTGTCCAACTTTCCTTTTACAGATACGAGAGGGACCGTTAATAGCGCCCATATCTCGTGTACAATTTATTATGACTTATATTAGATACTTTAGAAACATATTATACTTACTCCAAAGAAAACATTCGTTTGAAACACTCAAGTTTACGCTCTTAACAAATATTACATAGAATATTCCAGAAGTTCTTATAAGAATGTAATCTCGTTTACGACGATGTAATAATAAAAATTCTATGTTCTTATTACATAGACAGAGTTATAAACGGTATTATAAAAGATCCGATATAAAAAACGTAGTTTTATTGAGCTCGGAAGCGGCCCAAAAACGTCAGGCAACGCCCATAACATATATAAATTTAAAAAAAACAAATTTACAGGCCACGTGTCAAATCATAGACAATAAGTTATACGGTTGTATATTAAAAATAACAAATCTGTTTAAATTTTAATGCATTTATTTATATTATAACGAAATAAGAAAACCTTTTTACTGAACACCTATTTCGTAAAAAAATGTATTACCGCCATATTTTATGTTACGCTCGTGAACACAAATAATAAACGATAGCCGAATAACTTTGGTCCGCCTATAAAAGTTTTTAGTCAACACCGTCTTTTGTGGGCGAGTGATTTAGAATTTGAATCATTAAAGAAACGTAACAAAAACTATGAGGGGGAATATATTTTTATTACAATGTAATGTACAAATAATATATACAGATTCAACTATTCTAGGGAATATAAGTAACAAAGTTCATATTTATATGAAGTCTATACAAATATAAGTACTATATGTAATTCATACCTTGTCTATTAATTATCCTAAAATTCGTCTTCCGGTAAAATCCCCCTTGCTGAGAGCTCCAAGTAAGATGATGGCTGCCACTTTGTATATTACACTCATCCTGACCACTTATTGACAAAACGATCTGGAACAAAACACACACTTATAATAGTCTTATACAATACAATTTCAAAGGTTGGGAGTGCTAGTTGGGAGCGCAATGATGTACCGAGGCTTGGCTAGGAGCAGAAATTACGGGGGTTTTTTATTCAGTTAGGAGTCTGATACTCCCTTGTACCCCACATAGGTCAAGGGAAGTCATTTGATGATTTTTCCCTTTAAAAAAAATACTATACAATCTACTACTATAAAATACGTATGTATGTTTGAATTTTGTTACTCATTCAAGTTTATAGCTAAGTTTGGATTTTTAGTAAAGTAATTTTACAGTACCTATGTATTTTTATTGTATAAATAAGTTTACTTGTGTTTACTACTGTATTCGTGTCTATATGAGGTTAAAATAATTGAGTCAGTCGTTAAGAGCCCTTTGTTATAAAAATTTTAATATATTTTAAATGAAATTAGAAATATACAAGTTTTCTCAGATATAGTTATTTTTGAAAACCTATGTGGATAAAAAATGTTGATTTAAAAATTGAAAAATTCAAGTGGACTTTCAATATGAAATAAGATATTTTCAAAATGTCACACATAAATTTAATAAAATGTTTAGTTATGGTATTTTTTTCAGTTATAAAAATAATTTAGTAACTAAAATTATTATCCTTTTTTTATTCGCGACAAAATGTTTATAGTATATAAATTGTATTATTAAGTTACAGGTCAATAACCCAAATAAAAAATATATTTTAATCACCAGAATACAAGTATATTCCATCTATAATTAGTAACATTAAATTTTTCATCTCGTCTGCTTGTGATCATGATTGCTGCTAAGTAACCGAAACTTAAGGAGTATGTAGTCTAAATTTTAAAATAATATGTAATAAAAAAAACGCCTAATAAATAAAGAAAATATAAGTTTTATTTAACATTAAATTGTTTTAATACATCTATCTATTGTTTTGTTATTCGATGTATTGTAAATTTCAATCTATACTCGCAACTTAAAGTACTATGCATTATCTTGACTTTGTCTTCACGTGTCTTTGGCTACGACTTTATCTACTTGATGCCTGATAGCGTTACAGTAATGTAAATAGATTCGAAGTTTAACATTAAAAACCACTTCATTTAATGTAGTTATAACGAGGGAATATTAATAGTGAAATTTGTCCTAGTAATATATATGTATATAGCCAAGCGAATTTGTAATTTATTTTGTTCGTAAGAACTTATTTAGTGTATCACGCATTCAACATCAAACGTTTGACGCGACCTTTACAGAAGACTCCGATTACGCTCTAATTTACTTAAACAAACATTTCTTATCATAAATTTTATATAAAAAACGTCTAGAATATAATAAACAAGAAGTTTCGTTGACCGACCTTGTAATAAAACATTAAATATTTAAACAAAAAAACACATTTCGGCCAAACTCAGTCCAAATATTGCTCCAAAAAAAGTCTACACGAAAACCAGTATATAGAGGATGTATTTTTTCTAACAAACGATCTGTGTCTAATATTCTCGTGTAATTACGACCGGAATCCTGTTTTTTATGAACCACCTGTTAGTAATCATTGCTGTTGAATTCCGCGTGATATCCCATTAGTATGACAAATTAATATATCTTAATAGTATTGGAGTTTCTCTTTGATACGTAACATTTATCGCATGTTCTTAACAGCCAAGTTCCTGTTAAACGTTTCTTGGATTCTTAATGCGATGTTAAATTATTTGATGATTTTCAAAGAATTTGCGCTAACATTTTTCTTTGGATGTCTTAGAATGAGGTACGTTTGAGCTTTGATCTTACAATTCTAATCAAGGTATTACACTATTATTTTACAGTACAGGTTTGTATGGATGCGTGTATTTTTATAATTCTTCCACTGAAAATCTACAAAATTTATCTCAAAGTCTATAATTCTTTACAATAACTAAGGAAATACATCAAAAATAAACTATAGCCTATAATTATTCATGTAATTTATTTCTATCGGAAACACCGTATTATAGTTGCATTATGTTTGAAGTCATGGGACAGATATAAGATGAAATAGCCGTATTATATGGATTATTTCAATAAAATTCTGAAGACGAAGTCGCAGTTAAAACCTAGTATGCATACATTTGAGTAATACATGTACCACTTTAACCAATAAGCATTTATAGTTGAATGCAAGTAACTTTAAATTATTGCCCCTATTACCTCTTCGATTGGCCAGACGCGGCCTATTTATTAGGCAATCGTTAATTTTGATAGATACAAATACGATAGCGTTTTACATTCTATATTTGTACTAAGTAATGCGCTTATCATGAGTTTTAGTTAACGAAAACTATCATAGTTACAGAGCTATCGAAATTGTTATAATTGTTAGGTGAAAACTTATTATTTTTACTTTACTTCTACTAATGGTAAATTCATAGATCATTTTTAATACTAAAATTATTATAAGAACGTTTATCTAGTCATACTAATTTTAAACTATTTTTTATTCTAAAGTCATTAATTGATGTCAATTTTAGATAAATATGATTGAAGTGTTTATAATTTTGAGCAAAAGTTATGTACATAAATATGAAATACATTACCTGCTACTTCGAAGTCGGTTAATGATATAATTCACTCGCAAATTTATGCTTCCGCCATAACACATAATGAGAGGGTAACAAGACATTTCCGTTTATAGATGTTAAACATTTTTGATATAGAATTTAAATATGTGAGAAATTTTTGCACAGAAACAGAATCACTGGAATTGGTTAAGATGAGTTCAAGGAAACATCAAGTCTCAAGTTATAATCGATTTGTGAATATTTATGACTAGTTATAAAATCTATATATAAATGCTTTTACCGCATCCAGTAACAGGTGTGGCTGGTTCAGTAGTCGCGATAACGAGATCTGTTTTGATATTGGTCGATGGCCCGGGATATTTACCAGCATTAAGTGTTTGTTCTGATAAGTGCTTTTTATCCTGGATTTAAAAAAATCAGGGTTGTCAGTATTTATTTAATAGACGATATTTAAAAAGAAATGTTTGCCATATACGGCAAACATTTCTTAAATATTCTAGTTTTTATATATTCTTTGGTCTCGCGAACTCAAGGACGGAGCCACTAAAAATACACTTAACAATAAAAAAAGTATCAAATTTCTTGTAGCTTGATTTTTATTTAAATCCAAATTAAAGGTTATGAAAATTTATTATTATACTACGCTGATTGAAGATGATTTTTTCTTTACATTAAGGAACCGTACACAACCCTTAAAGCATTGCAAAAACTGTAATTTTAAAGTAAATACTGAAAGTTTATTAGATAATTCCACAGCACTTAAAACTGATAAGACGCATCAAGTCAATTGACCGACATTGATAACATGTTTACTCATAGTAGTAAACTTCTTAACTGATAAGCTGATAAAAAAACTTATAATTACTAAGTACGCTCGCGTTAAAAACACCATATATATAATATACCTGGCAATATCCCAGCTTTAGCCAGGGTCTGCCTTACATGTTGTGAATAGTTTTTTACGACCGGCCGCCTGCCTGACATCAACCCTCTTTGGGAATCAGAAGTAATCAGTGATGTCTAAATATTTTCAGAAGGTACATATGACTCGGAAAAAATCACATTGGTACTTGCCAGGGCCAGGATCGAACCCGCGTCCTCGTGCGTGAAACCGCCTTTCAACCACTAGGCCACCACTGGACTTCTAACTGACTGAATGTATACATATATATACTATGGTTCATGATACACTTCGCTGATTACATACAATTAACAGGAGTGTTTAAATGTCTTATTGCCTATTAAGACACTCAGCCAGAAATCCTTCATTACGAATTTAATAAAATTCATACATATGCCTCCTAACTCCTTTAATATTTTAATATTACTATGTAATAATTTAAAACGTCGTAACAATTTAATTAAAAACACCTATGTTTGAAACGAATTGTCGCATACTAATAAAATTAAAAAAGCCTATCTAAGGTCAATACTGACCTTATATATGCCATCATATCTAGAAACGTTTAATAACAGAACGAAATTATATCCAAACATAAAAAATACATAAATAACATAACATAATTCTATTAAGATTTTTTACATAAGTTTAACTAGCTTGCTTTGCTTAGCTAAACTTTGTTTACTTAGTTAATCAAATAAAAAACAAATCCTCGATAGTTTTGTTACGCATGCGAAGCATAAATAAAATAAAAATATTCTACTAACAGTTTTTACTTAAGCTTAACTGGCTTGGTACAAAACTTGTTACATTGTTTGGCAAATAAAAACAAAGCTTCGATAGTTAGGCAAAAAATTATTGTATTATTAATTTTTTGCAGCACTGTACAAGCTACGTGCCCGCTGTCATGTCGTTCACAATGAGCTAAAAACGTATCTCAAAACGTCGATTACCTATAAACTATAGGAACAATGGAAGTCTCACAGAAACCCATCGAACACAAGGAGCTACTGTTTCTCGGAATACGAACGGTGTCGTTCAACCCGATCAAAGCTGTTCTGGTTAAGATCACGGGCGCGATCAAACTTTATACCGGCTATAAACCTTACCTATTCCTATTCGTATTCGTATTCGTCTATAAACTTTTTTTTTAATCACCTATAAAATATAACCCCATGTTCATAGTAAAGCTGTTCATTGTTATTCATGCTGTATCAAAAATGATTGTAGATTAAAATAAAACATTTCTTTAATGTGAAAATACCGGTAGTTTTATTTCAGTGAGTATAAAGATAAGGTATCCGGATAAGATTAGCGAACTATTTTCAATATACGTAACTTGTAATGAATATTAAAATTTTAAAGTAATAGCTAAGTTAATGATATATGTTATGTTTTATGGGTGTTTTAAGGAGGACCATAAATGATAGGGTTGGGAAGGTCAGGCGTTAAAACCGGTATCCCGCCGGTTCAAGGAAAGGTTCAACGGAACTGGACTTGGTTAGAATTATTGCTTGGTACCAAACACTTCGGACCTACTAGCTCCTTGTAGTGCAACATGGGCGGTGTATAGCTTATGGGGATTTTGGACTATTTCCAATATTTTTTTTATATGAAAATTTTATATTAAAAAAAAATATATTAAACACATTGTGAATTCTGTTATAAGATATAAAATACAGAAAAAAAATCATTAAAATATAATATTTCCAATATAATGCGACATTTTATTATTTATATAGTACTAGCTAATATCCGCGACTTCGTCCGCGTTGTTTTTTATACTAACATTTTCAGGATATGCAAAACAAGGTCACGGAGTACTTAAAAAAATATTTTACTAAATACTGTCTCTAAGAAAATAAAACTTACGTAAATTGAATTCTAAACAGTAGTTAAACCATTAGCGCGGACTATTATAATATTTTTATAGATATGTATATTAAAAGCTTCTATTAATAAACAAAATAAAATTAAAAAATGAAAGTTGATTACATACGAGAGCAATATCAAAATCATTAGTTTGTTCTCATCTAAATTGCACTGCCCCATAATGACTCCATATTGTACTCATTGTAAGCAATTTGCATCTATTTGAACTGTCTACTTGAAAGATGCCTAACAATCTTAGTTACCATTGTATTGTTAAATGAAGACATAACACTCGGGCTGTATGGCTTTCTTTTGTTTTCTTTCCTATTGTAAATTTAATGTATGGTTTGTATTTATTTATGGTCGGGACAAATGTTAATGCTCTTTGTGAAATTGTTACAGTATAGTTACAATTTTTATGACTGCTAACTATATAGAACGTTACGCATAAATTATAAATGTGAAAATTCACATGTAACTTTCATTTTTATATCAAAAATAATTATCGAACCTGTATAAAAAACTATAGATTGAAAATATTTCATATACCGTAAACTTTTCAAGAAGTGTAGTATCTGAGTATTTTTTATAACATAACAAATATTAACGACACAACTATAACACTAAATCTTCTATAAATCTCACTACTATATTACGCGTGGGCTTACGCCCAACAGCCTACCATAGTTTCGCAAACTTCAACCTGCCCCCGCAACTTTTGAGCCATGTTATAAAACAAACGACACAAATCTTGGATGCATCGTAAAATAAAAAAAAAAAACAACTAAGCGACGACGCGCGAAAAAGTTGAATATTACGAAACGAAACACGAAACTTTTTACTTACCATAAATGTAATGTAGGTGAAGTTGCGATGCTCAAAAAAATCGTGTTAAAACAACGATAAATGAAGCCCATTCTCGTCCTGGATATCCGGTTAGGGCTTCGTATAAAGCATCACAAGACGGAAAGCCTTAGTAACTTGTCCTAAACACTGTTTTGATTGTTGACACTGAACGTAGTTCGTGTATTACGTTAAAACATCTGGTCTTTTGCCGATTTCACTTCCTAATAACTAACTTAAAACTATCTTAGCACTAGAGTATTGTAAAAGTTATAGAGAATAAAAGTTTATAATTTAAAACAGCCGCAGGTAAAGACGACCGTACAAGCGGTTGGTGGACTTGAAAGTTGAAGAAAAAAAACAATAAAAGTTGCAGACCGAGCCACAACCCACAACACGATCTCAACTTTACGAAGTACGCGACAATGTGTGTGTGGTTGAATGAACATACCGTATGCGCGCCTTACCTCGGCTGATAGATAGTGTTGCCAGTATCTCACACATTGATTTCCACGCGATAATGAAATGATAAAACATAAAGATTGATAAAACTGTTATAAAGTTTGATAAAACTATAAAAAATGAATAAAGAATCGGTAAGAATAATAAAAACAGAAATATTTTTAATAAACCTTAGTGAATTCAAATTTTAAGCAATTTAAATTAATAAATTACAATATCTAGTATAAAATTAATAAAATAACATTTTTAACATTTGAAACTGCTAATACAAATGGTATTAATATTAAATATAATATTTATATCAACAGTACCACGAAAAGAGGGAGAATATTAAAAAAACTGGCAGCATTAACTCTCAGCGTCAATCCCCGCCAAAAACCTCGGAAAAACGTACGACATTGCCGGAGATGCACGATCGCACGCACACACTAACAAAGAACGCTTGCCGCCCGCGCACCGACGTCCTTGCGGCCACCGACCGCACCAAACCGTCAACTCTTATACTTGTTTTGTTAAACGAAAACAAGCTCGATTTACAATACATCGAATACTACATTCATTTATATCAAATTTGTATTCAATCATTGCGTTCAATGTACAACGAAGGACTGTTCCATATAAAATTATATCTACAACATATATTCCAACATTACACCGTTTATATTAAAAATGTAATAATCAAGTCTAGTATATATTTAACATATAAGTAGCATGTATTACATATTTAACAGCTGTAGTAAAAGGACGTTGTGTTTTGAATTATTTTAAAACAGTTGTAGCTATCCGCCTACATGGGCAGGTTGTCGAGCCTTACCTAGGTAAATCGAAAATAGTTACATTTATTTTACATATCGCCCTTTAATATATAGTTTAATAAATAATAAGTCATGATATATAAATTGTATTCATAAATGATTCTAACTTGCTTAACACAGATGGTTTCTAGCCACTACGACTTTGACCTACAAAATTTCATTTCATACATATTAATAAACAATATAAATTTTAACTATTCACCTATAAATAATGGTCCGTGCTTAACTGGCGTTGATTTATTATTTAAATATTATCTAATATCGGACATTGCAGGCTTCAGTTATTGTCTACTGCATTGATGACACCATATTGTCTATGAATACAGCCTTGTGTATGCTCATTAAATTTTAATTTAAATATAACAAGACACTAGAAATAGACTAAGGCATTATTTACAAATCCTTATTCATATGCAGCCATATATAAACAGGAATAATATCTAATATATTAAAAATAGCAATATTATAAAAATTACA